CCGGGGGGGCCGGGGGGGCCCCGCGCTCCCCCCCCCCATCCACCCAGCGAGGGGCTCCCCCGCGCCGCCCTTGGCCGCCCTGTCGCGATGGGCACTTGTTTTGTTCATCCTGTCGACGAGATAGGCAGGAAAAGGAGCGTTCGACTGCGTGCGTCTCCACTGTATATACATATATATATTATATTGAACTTAATTGGCATTTGAGATCTACTTCACATTTCAAGGTCCCGTCGCTTAAAGAACATATAGGAATGGGGCATTCTCTTCTGGTTGCGATCAGGACGCTCTCCCGTTGCTCACTCGTCTCCCTGTAATTTCATTGTGGTCACGAATGGCAGGGATTTGCATCAGTTATTTTGCATTTTCTATTTTAAAGAATAGGATGAAATTTGAAGAAAAAAAATCTAGTTCCCTAAATTGCAAAGGGAACAAATATGAGCCACTCAAAAAGGAAACTACATCATTAACAATGTTGCAAACATAAAGTTTAAAGTACAGATTTTATATTAATAAAAATGTATTGGTGTTCTTGGTATAAGTCCTTGCAGTTGGATTCTTAACTCCAGAACATTAGATTTTGATGACAGTCAGAGACAGCTGACTACACACACACTCAGGTATATACCCGTAGTGTCTTACTCTTATTTACATTTTTTTTTACTGCTACTCTTGCTCCAGCGCTTTGTAAATTATTTCACTCCTGAAAGGCATTTCATAGGATTTTATGCCGTTTTACCCATTGAAGATTTTCAGCCTGTCCAGGTATAATTTCTGTCATTATCTCTGAAAGTATTTGCATACCCACGTGGACTTTATAAGGAGTATAAAAGATAAATGGCCATATAAAAAGATTCTGTTTTGTATCCAACATTTTTGCAGTTCTTTGGATGTCATGAAGATCCATCTACGTTTAGGCCTTCCTTGCTCCTTTAAGGAATGCCTTCACATATTTTACACAGACACATTATATATATATGTGTGTGTATATGTATACAGATAATGAATTTTATTTGTGTATATAAAATAAATACATGAATAATATTCATTGCATTACACGCTTATGTGGCATTGCAAGTAGATCTACATGCATACAAATACATTTTTTCACAACTGTGTAAGTGTGTGTATATGCGCATATATATGTAAGTGTGTGTGTAATGGAACACATTGGAAGGAGATATGTTTCTACAAGAAAATTACTCAAAATAAAAATGTTTCTAAAGCAAAACAGTAAAGATAGTCCACTGCAAGTTTGTACTTCATTTTTTTGTAAGCCACTTAAGTTATAGACTTTACTGTAAATATCCACATACGCCCCCATCTCAGCACAAAAATATTTATGCATATATTTGTCCTTTGAAAACTAACTAAACAGGGCTATGAATTATGACTAAAAGATGATACTGAGATAAAAACATAAAATAGTAATGGAAAATGGAATTTTATATAATGTCAACAACTTTAGCATGATTCTTGGCATAAGCAATTTAGTGCAATTTCATTTGTCTGAACTAGAGTGATTTTACAAAGTGAATTAATAGAACATTAGTACTGAAGAAAGAAACAGTTTTTCCTTTGAAACATAAAGTGCCACTAACTTGAGATGAAACCTGAAAGTCAGTGAATAATGTATGGGAAAAATTAATATTTTAAATGTATCATATTTAAAATTGCTATGAACTTAAGTAATGCTTCACATCAAGAAAAAAAAGAAAAAAATCATTTTCGATTCAATTTTTATATACAACATTTTACAAATGAAGCAATTCACAAAAGAAGTAATGGCATGTAAACATATTGTTATTTTGCACACGAAATACACTCATTACAGCATATGGGTTTAATTGGGAGATGACAAAAAGAGAATACATGTTTCACTTTGTACTGCACTGAAAGGAACGCGTTTTTAAATAGCTGATTAATAATATGAAATGAACTGATACAGTCAATACTATCTGCGTGGGCTTTTGAGCATAGTGAAACCATACCACAACGGGACATTTATAAGAAGTGTGAGGTCAAGTAAAGCAATGTTTAAAATTTAGAAAGGGAGTTTAGACAATTCAGCCCGGTATTAAAAAATGAGCCCTATGGCCTATAGTACTGTTTAAAATTATTTAAAAGTATTAATAATTATTAAGATCTACTCTTTCAAGTAAAGCTAGTAGAAAATATGGTAAGATTCAATCCTGCACTTCAGCTCAGGGGCAAATTGTGGTCCCCTGGCTGTCTCGCTATTGGTGTCAGTGAGAAGAAGCTGCAGCCCTCAGTCTTTTCCTTAATATAACATCTACGAACTCCAGCATCTTATTTTATTTTATCTTATCAGATCATTGCCCTGCTTGGGACAAACCCTGCATGTCCTGTTCACTGAAGGCACCTGGGGTTTTGTTCATCTGGAATGAGCAGGACATGATCATCCTCCCTCTCTCTGGTACAACTACATTGGAACTTAATATAAGCTGAAGGGCTGTTTTTGCGTGATTCTTGAGCCCAAAATGAATTCTCCTGGAATCAGATCCTAGGGAGAGCCAGGCTGTCTGCATTTACGCCTAGCTGACCTAAAAGTTGCATCCTGCTCCCTTTAGTCCAGCTTCGGGGAACCAGGCCAGTAAAATCTGACCCATGGGAAGGAGACACGAGATGGGGAATTTTTCAACAGTTACTTCCAGAAAGAGTGTTTGCATAAGTGGAAAGCACTGGATGCGTATGAGCTTGGTTAGAAAAGAAATGCCCCTTTCTGGGAAATATGAAGGTCCTTGATGGGACTATGAGCACTTAAAACTTGTCTTGTTGAAGGAGACCAAAAGCCTGCGCGGTCTACGGGCTGGTTCCTACCCGTGGAGCATCACAGATGCCACAAAAAAAGGCAAAAGTGGGTAAAATGCTTTCCATGTCCTGCACAGCAGAGCTCTTTCTGGACACGTTTGACCCAAACCCCAAGACAAGCACTTGATGCCCTTCCCCAAATCACTTCTGATTAATTTTAGTACCTCATGTTTTCTGTATAGATGCTCAGTCCTGCTCTGAAATTTCCTGTTGATATTTTATTTTCAAAACAGCCGTGATGGAAGAAAAAAATCCTTTTTTTTTTTTTAAAAAAAACAGTTTTGCCATTTCACCTTTATTTGTTTAAATATAAGTTTATCTGCTGTGAAATAACCTTTTTTTTTCTTTTCCCCCCCACATTTATAACTGCATGCTAACCCATTCCAGAAACAAAATTTTAAAACACTGTGTCATGCTTATAGGATAATTATTAATCTTCTCACAGTTAAGAAAACCATACTAAAAGTACTTCATACAAAGGCTTATGCCTTTACATTTTCAAAAGTTTTTTTTTCCTTAATCAGATATGTCATAAGAGAGGAAGAAATTATACAATATATAGCATGTAGTAAAAGTATATGACTCCTACAAGGCTATTTAAAAATACACAAAAATTAATTTTTTTCTTTTGATTTAGTAGCATACTGGATGGAAAGGTATGTTTTTATATTTATTCCTGCTTGTGTCTTGCAGTTCTATGAAGATGATGTGAAACTACAATTTCAAAATTTTAGTAGCTATAAATGATATAAAAATAAGGAAGAAAAATGTTCATGCTATGTATCTGGAGGGATAAATACACAATAATCACGCAATTTGATGGCAGAAAGAATTACTATTTGACAATAAAACCAATGCTAAATACAAACAGAATAATATTGTTCTACTGAGAAATGTAGCAAATAAAATGATATACCAAAAAAAAAAAAAAAAGCTTTTGAAACTCTCTCTCTCTGTCTCTCTCCATGTTTAGACCCTTTTTCAGCTGAATGTTCAAGTTTTGTGACCTGCTGCGCAGAGATACTGTCAGGGAACCAATTAACCAAAACTTTTCCATTGTAGTTTTCATATCCCGTATCTCTGAACACCCCAAAAGACACTCGGTCTCACTTACCTTTAGGGAGGTGGTTTTACTGTTTATTGTGTGGGATTTGCTTGAGATCTGACCTTGTGTACTCTCAGTCGGGTGCTAATCTTGTTGGGAGCCGTGTTTGTAAGTTCACCTACGTATTCTGTGCAGAAGACCGGCGTTTTCGAACGGGCAATTCATGCATCTCTCCACATGCACAGGAAAGGTATAGATCCTGCAGGAAAAGTACCTATTTTTCAGAGGCATTGGGCATTAATAGCTGACCTTGACTTCAGCAAGAATACTGAGAAAACTCAGTATTTTCCAAAAAAATAGACCTTTTTCTTTAGAAAGTCAGATGTCGATACAGAAACCAGAGTTATAGTCTCTCTGATTAAAAAACAAGCACATGAGCAAAAAAAAAAAAACCCAACAAAAAACCCACTATCACTGGACATTTTTGTTTTTATCTTCATTTAGGTTTCGCATCAGCCCTATAGATATAATTCCAAACCTGCCTTTTCGCATGTGATAGCTGCTGGTTTTGCCCTTTCTTTCAGTTAGAAGAAATAATTAAACTACCACCTCTTTAAAAAAAAAGATACCAGTATTAGAAATTATTGTTCTTTACTCAATCAAAAAAAAATAAGAGTGGAATCTGCAAAGAAAGAATTAAGGTTTTAAATGTTATTATTTTGACTTTCCCACAGGAGGACCTTGGTACTAAACACTTCCACATATTTTCTCCTAAAATTAGGAAATAATAAGACACAGATTTTAAAGGCTTGTTAGAGGGAAAGTCTTCTACGTTATGTTACATTGAAACCTGAACAAAAATAGTCTAAAGTTTTTGAGGAACAGCCAGTAGTTGACAGCAAGGAAGAGAATATGTCGTATACTCCTCTACATTGATGAATCATGTAGCACATAACTAACTTTACCGAATTTCATTTGTTGCACCAGAATCAGGAGAAATCAAAAAATTGGTGTTTATCAGTGGAAGCCCCATCAGGAGAGCAGGATCGGTTTTTCGATCCATTTTGGCTGGATGTTGTTGAGCAGAAAACGGGAAAGGGGCCCAATCTAACGTCTTGCCTGCAAACATCCAGCACTCTTCCTGGATTCTAATTTCTTTGTCTACGAATTGAGGGTTAAACACGGAGGCTGATCCTCCTTCCATGGGATCAGAGCAAGCTCTGAGCAACGTCCCTGATGGGAGGATGCTCGTGACCCCGATAAGACCGGTGCCCGCTGCTCTGTGCCCTTGGGAAAAGCTCCTTGCTGGCACGGGAAGGGCTCCTTTCCAAATTGCACCTTGGACCTTGCTGCTTGGTGCCATCTCTGACCAGCTTTCTGCATTTTCATTTTTTAATTAATTTTTAAAAAACCCTTTACTTTGTTGAGAAGTGATTCGGCTCTGCTCAGTAGCAACTGGTCTTAGTGGGTTTGAAATTCCTGGAAAACCTCACTACTCACATTTTACAGATACAGTCAGAAAAGCAAGCTAGAATATTCAGAGGTGAGGTGCATTTTAAAGGGGCACTTTTGCCTGTTAGTTTAGTCAGTTAAAATATACGAGCTCAGTGCAGTTTGAAGGAGTTGAAGCAAGCCACAAGTGCTCTTCTCAATTTAAAGCTTCTACATTTTAATTCTTTTTTTTTTTTTTTCCTGCCACTGTGGCTCTGTAAAAGACCCTGGGGACAATGGGGGACTATGACACAGAGGAACAGGTTATACTGTCTACACAGAAAGTGCTATAAAAAGCACTAAATAAAATACACTGAATAAAATAAAATAAAGTTCCCCTAATTTGCAGCGTTTATAGTAGTCACGTTACATCAGCAGTTGGCAAGAAGAAGAAAAGGGAGACAGAAATGTGATCTCTAAACTGACAGAGCCTCTTTAAATTTGTTTGAGCAACGATCTCAGGAAAAAAAAAAAAGAAGACATACTACAGTGTTCTGGATTTTATTTGTTTAAATGCAAATTTATGGAGCTGGCCACACACCAAAAATTGGAGAGTTTGGTACTGCAGTTGCTTTGGTGTTTTTTCAGCATTGTAACAGGCTACAGAGAGACAAAGGAGAATATGAATATATGGCACTTGATATTTAGATTTGGGTGACATTTTTGCTTGTTTTAACTGTCATTTTTAAAAATCCATTTTCATTCTATCATGCCATTGAATCGCAGCAGACATCGATATAGAAAAGCTGGAATTATTTAATAAACAAAATTAGCATTGATTTTTGTACTATGTTTCTCATTGCCCAACCTCTCAGGCATTCATTGAGTCCTAAGGTCCAGGGAAAACTTGCCCATTGGGCAGAGTGAGAGGGTAGGTGGACCTCTTCCCCTCTCCCCAAAGTGGTTTCTTTTTTAAAGCAGAAAAAAAGCACCCCCTTTAAGAGGGCATCAAAAAGCCAGCTAAAATCTGATACTACTATCACACCTTCTGCAATATTTTTTCAGGAGTCTGAACCTGATTTTAGTGCCAAGGAGACGCTATGGGGAACTGAGCTGACCGATCCCGTATCTGCCTGCAGAGGAAGAGGTATCTCCTTCATCCCTCACCTGAACATGGCTTGGAGGATTTCGCTTTTCTAAGGCAAGCGTTCCCAGCGAGCTAGCTACATTCACACACTGCTTCTTGTAGCATTAGTACGGAACCAAGTTACAAAAGAATATTAATCTAACACATTCCAAAATTCAAATATGTGTGATTAATAAGCATTATAATCTATAAATAAGGCTCTAATGATACTTTGGCAGTGTTGTAAACACAAGAATCAGAAGCAATTATTGTCATTATTGTTCTGCAAGTACTTCCCATGAATACCAAATGGATATTACTGTCCAGCTCCTTGGCACATAGAAACCCTGTAAAGAAACAGTTGTCAGTCAGTAAGGTCTGGCTGGCTGCTATTAACTATGTTCGTTTCAAATGCAGCGTACCTAAGGACAAAGCGTCTAAGTTACTGAAAGCAAGGCAACTATTCGTTTAGAAATTCTCCTTTGTCTTTTTTTTCCCTTCAACCCACCAAGATATGTTAAATAAAGCCTATGAGAAAGTTTTCACATCCTGTGAGATGAACTGTTGTGTGACGGCTGTGATTAAAAATGGAAATGGAGTCTCTGCCAAAAAAACTACCCTTCTTTGTGTGAAACCCACAAAGGTAAGAAAATTCCAGATCAAAGGTGGTGAGAAAATAATTACAAAGGAGAAAACAAAACAAAACAAAAAACCCCAAAACTCAGCTATCAGAGGTAGCCCACGGACTGTTTTCAAGGAAGCAGGATGACAGGGGCATTCGTAGCTGTCACATTTGCCTCTCCTGAGGTTTCCACAGGTCCCACGGAGCAGAGGCCCGTCCGCTCGCCCCGTCCCACTCGACTCCCCCACTCGCGCTCCTTTGGCAGCCTCACCTCCCTCGCCAACCTCACCGCTTTAGACAGCGCCAGCCAACAGCAGCGTTTTGTGGTGGGTGTCATGTTGTTCTTCAGATGCCAGAGTGTCATCGTGAGCGGGAACAGTGTGGGTCTGACTCTCGGAGTCTGTAGAAAGAGAAGGAAAAATCCCCAAACAGTGAGCTTGACTTTCCAAATGTGTTCAATTCTTCTTTCCTCTCCTTGATATTTGGGGCGCGCAGCACCCTATACCATGTGGTTTAACATTTTGTTCTCTATTTGTAGGTCAACATTTCCATGATTAAACTTCATCCTTTATTCAGCCTGTTCTGGCTAGGCTTTGCAGCACATGTGATATAAGCTGTTTTCACAGCTAGTAGGCCAAATCTTACTCTGGATAAGTGAGCCAAACATATGTGCCTGAGTCAGACACTTAAATCAGCTCACTGGTAAATGGGAGATAACTCCAGGTGCAGCATTGAACACTGAGAACCAAAAAAGTGGGAAGGGTGGCCAACGCTCCTCCGTGTGGGGAAGGAGACAGCCTAGGCACACAGATAGCGAAGTCTTAGCCCTGCCCAAATTTCTCTTTCCCACATTTGCCTGAGGATACTGAGCCTTCTTCCTCTCAAGGGCACTATGTTCCTCTCTGTCACCCTCCCTTCATTGCCTTTACATCCCAAGCTCACCTGCTGACTGAGGCGGACGCATCTTCTCTTGCCTCGTGATAGATGTCAGTTGTTCTAATGTGGGATGGCACTGGATGACCTTTCCTCACAAATCAATGGAGCAATTCTTGGAAGTGCTCAGAGCCCTGAGTGAGCATTACCTGATCCAGTCATCCTTGGTGCAGAGGATTAAAGGGCTCTTTCTGGCTGTACGGCCTCCTTCTCCTGTCCTTCTCTGTTGTCTGGTAGCTCTGGCAAGCAGAGGGAAGCCTCCATGGGTAGCTAAGCACAAATAGAAGAGCCAGATGAGCAGGCAGGTGTCTTATACATGATTCAGACCAAATAGGTCCTTGACGTGTAACATTTGCACTTTCACTAGGGCTGGTCTTGTCCTGGCTGTTGGGCTATCAGGAAACCTAAACGCTTCTCGGCACATTTACCCTACAAGTGACATATCTGAGCAGCAAGAATAGTGAGGAAGAGCTCTTGCAATAAATCCAGGATGGATTATCCAGAAATGGGCGTAGTTTTGCCAGTTGCAGCCAAAGGAATGCACCTTGGCCTATGCTTTGGTGATGACTTGCATCAAATCATGGACTAGCTGGGCATGAGCTGTTTGCCTAAGGAACAAGCCCTTGCAGGGATCCACTTGACTCTCTAACTTACCCTACTTGTTAGCTCTTTGGTGGGCAAGCTTCAATAATACAATCGATGCCTGTGTAAGCTTTGTGCTCCCCATCGTGCTTGGAAGGACCTGCTCTGGTCCATGCAGTGGCACTTAGGATCCTGGTACTCGGAGGCTCGGAAGAGAACCCCCTCCTGCCACTCTGTCAAAAGGCTTCTTTTTGCCTTGGTGAATGCAAGGGAGTTGCAGAGATTCCTCTTGGCATGTCTATGACCAGCAGGGTAGGCCATGGCGAGGGGATGATGAGATGAAGCAGGGCATGATGTGATCTGCTGTGCTCAGAGACCTGAAATGGGGTAAGGCAGAGAGACTGGGCTGCAAAGAAAGAATTGCACATTTCTGATCTCTCTGGTGTGCAAGTTAATCAACGATACACAGGGATAAATCTATCTGCTTCAAGGACAGAGCAGTACCAAATTAGTGGAAAGAAGAGGCTTGCAACATCATCCAAAAGGGTCAAATGACCTCTCCATTACTCTCTTTTTGCAGAACATACTGGACTTTGGGCTCATCTTTTAAAAGCATAAGCCCAATTGCGCACAGGCAGTGGAAGAAGGCAGGAAATTTCTGTAATTAGAGTGCAAGAAGAACCCTCACATTGCTGTGATGTGAAGTAGAGGAAAAGCAAAACAAGGTTTTTCTTCAGTTACTGAGACAAAGGAAACTAAGTCACCATTTTTTAAGTTTAGGTAAAAGTTTCCCTTTTTCATAGTATAAAGTATCTCTGGATCACACAGGAGTGATTTACAGCTGTAGTACCACATGTAATTTCAGGTCAATGAATAGACTGTGTATTTTATATTATCTTTTCTATTGTTTCTGATTGTCTTTTTTGGGGGATTGATATTACTGTAAGTAAATACATTTGTCTTTTGTTTCATTTCCCCCTTGTGACCCATTTTATTTAATTAGAAGGAAATGTGTAATAGGAATGAGTAGCATCACACTGGGCTTCATCCAAAGCCTGTGAAATCATCAGTAATGTTTCCTATGGTTTTCATGGGTGTCGGATCAGGTCCAGCAGAAAGGAGGGGATATTTCCACCTTATCTGGAACAGGAGGAGGGATGTGTGCTGCCAGTGCAAAAATATTACTGCCATCATTTTAAGATCTGCCCCAGATATTAGAGAAGGGTTTTGCTACTGTGCATGCCTCTCCATGCCACGTGCTTCACATCCTTGGCAGTATGTTAAGGATAAAGGTTCTTAAAACCTTAACTCCAACTATACGTATAAAAAGAAGAAACAAATTAGCTAAAAGATAAAAGATATTGATGGAAGTATATGAGATGCTCTTTAACATGCATATTATTGACTCAATAGATTGTTACGGCTTCAGAGCTATTAGGGTCTGCTGTGTCAATGTGTACTTAGGGACTGTTTAATATGCAGATGGTTGACATGACAGACCGAAGCCATTACAGTCTATCATGTCAGAGGGGATACATGAATACACACTTTGCCAACACTGTAGAAAGTCCCTTTAAAATATGGTTACTGTGCAGACTTGGTTGCTTTTTAAAATAATTTAATAGATCAGGTTATTTGAATACCCCAAGACCACAGAACCTAGATTTATCAGCAGCAGAATTTATTTCCAAATTAAGCCATTTTCTATGTGGAATATGCAGTCAGTAGGACAGGGTGTAATCTCAGATATACAGCTCCTATCAAATCTTGTAAAATTAGCTCCTGCACTTGTGCATGTGTATAAGAGATCAGAATCTATCTGTCGTCATGTGTCTTTTTGAAGAATATAGTTTTGTCTTTTTGAGGGGTAAGGGAGAATGTCGTCTCTTTTTTTTTTCATTCAAATAATCTTCAGTAGCAATTAAATAGCTTATGCTACCTAAGAGATCAGTTATTACAAGATAAGCGGCATGACAGTTTGGAAAAACTGAATAAGTCTTTGATTATTTACTAAGTTTTGATATCTGCTATTTGCCTCAAAATGCTAGAAAGTGAAGTATAAGATACAAACATGAAAGGCTCATTTGATCATCATAAGGAAAGGAATCAGTAGTTTTGCTTTTCTTTTCCTCAACAACTTATTTTTTATTAAAATAGCAAAGCCAAGTGTTGTGTTTAATAAGATATATTTTTTCATTTAAATATCAAATAAAAATACAATTAAAATATTTCTGCTTTTGGATTACTTGTAGGCTATATTTCAGTGACGCCTATATCTAGAAAGCTGAGAGTACATATTTATTATATATTAGATGCTTCTAACAGATGCCCAGACCTCTTCCCCTGATTTCAAATGATTTTTTTTTTCCATGGCAGAGATCCAGGGACATTTTAATTTGCAAGCCTGTGAACTTGGAAATAATACTTGCAGGGGGGCATTGCATTCAGTCTCGTCCCTCTAAGTTTATTGTCATGTGCCACCTAGCTCTGATTCCAAGCTGGGTTACTGGACTGAGGGGCACAGTGTAAACCTAGCATGAAATTCATGGAGGAAAGAACACTCTGCCATTCATATAAGTGTAAATATGCAACAAATAGAGGCCTTCCCTCATATTATTGGGCTTCTGACAGCCCTCATAGTTTTGACTATTGCATTTCTCTGAACGCAGCACACTTTTGTGCCTCACTACAGCCTGGTTGGCATAGTTTGCAACTATTCACAAATGCTGAGATGCTGCAAAATATAACGTTTACAAAAGATACATCTGGTGTATATTTGCAAGGCTCAAGAATAGTTTAAATAGTGCCTGTGCTATCACCATATTAGGAGAAAAGTAACTCCTAGACCCATATGTGAAATCAGCAGTGAAATGTGTGCTGGTTCAAACTCCACTGATATAATATGGCATTTCTGTGTATAAATATGGACATGCTATACTGTGTATAATGCCCAAATTAGATAATACAGAACAAAGTGTAGACCTGGATAGGGCATGTGTGTTGATTGCCATTATGAATCCGTTTCAATCTATTTGATCAAAAATTGATCACGAGTTTTGAGGGACAAATGCTTACATTTTTAATTAAGGAGGAAACTTTGGCTTCTAATTGTAAGGCCGGCACTGTTTTCTTTTTTTCCTAATCATCAATGAGAATTGTGAGAACTACCTTGAAATCAAGGAAAAAATGTTGAGCAGCTTACTTTACATCACACAACATACTGAGGAAATGTCTGTTTCTTCCAGTGCTGTATTACTTAAGACACATTTGAAAACAATGTTTTCGTTAATGTGATGGTTAATGTTTTAACCACACTAAAGCAGAAAATTCAAGGTAAATCAGATACTGTCTTTCTTATGCAAACATGAATAAGGAGGCAGCATCAGACTTAATTCTGATTTCTGGGGCTGTAATTGAAACTAGGCTCGATGTGAGCTTTTTCTATTTTTTTTTTCCCCTACCATCACGTTGATATCTGGATGTTAACGATATTATTTAAAGCAATAAATCAACCTATAGAACAGTGTTCAGCTGTACTTTCTTTAAGCTACTTGACAGTAAATGGATTTTTTTTTTTTTTACTTTTCTCTACAGGCAGATTCATTAAAGAATTTTCATCTTATATCAAGGTACTTGAACTTAGAATGCTACCAAAAAAAAAAAAAAAAAAAGCTCAGTTTGTACAAATGCAGATTTTTGCATGCACGGTCTGCCTGACTGCTAATTTGGGTGAACACACTTAGGCTTAACACAGGCAAATGAAAGAGGAAAGATAATTTTTGCATATATCTTCTGAGTCCAGTGTGAGTCCCTGGACTCCAAGAGAAGCAGGTATCCACTTCCTGGGCTGAAGACTGTCACTCTGTGTAGCCTGATACATCAGTCTTAGTTCATGCATGCCAATGAGAACAAATCCTAACAACGAGCCTACAGAAACGAACATTTCCAAAAGCTTCAGGGTTTTGTGGAAAGCAGATGAAGCTAACTATGGGGCGCTCTAGCCACCGCTAATTGACCAAAGCAGGGTGAGATTTTGGCTAAAATTTTTGGCTGGACATTTTTGAACCCACCTTTGTTTGGCAATGGACTGAGTAAAGATGATATGGGACTGTGTAATTAGCCCAAAATACCTTTTGAGGAGTTCTCTATAGAACAGCCTGTCCAAAATTATTAGTGCCTGTCCCTCCATCTGGGTAGTGATCAATGCTGGGATATCTACTCTTCAGCACATAGTATGACTTTGGAAGGAAATGATTATTTATTTGATAGACAGTAAACACAGGCCATCCTATTGCCTTTTCATGCTTTGCTTTGCTTCTCTTGTCTGGATTCTCAAGGCTGTCTGGTGACTTTTCTGATCTCTCACGACAGACAGGAAGCGAGGTCTTCAAGCCCACCCTGGGCCAGGCTGTAGTCTTGGATGCGGGGCAAATACTCCCCCTTTGCTCTCCGCTTGTCAGAGGGTGGATTTTGCCTACACCTCCATTAAACTAATTTATTTTAACCAGCACAACTGCTTTCTCCTGTGGGTCCTCTCCATTCAAGGCACGAGGTATGCGAGAGCAGTAAGTGCACATTCCCAGATGTGGCCAGGTGTGTGCTGCGCATTGGAGATTAGGCTCCCGCCTGACATCTATGGGCTGAACCTCCCTGCTCCCGTGCAGTTTTGTCCTATTCACTACTGTGGCTAGTTTTATCTGAAGATATTTCCCATGCCCTGTGCAACTCCTGACCTTGCTGTGGACTCCCTTCTTGTCTCAAGTTTAATTTCTCGGTGGCGTGCAGACCTGCAAAAGGGAGAGTCTTAAAGTGATAAACTCCATCTTATATAGGTTCATCTAGAAAATAACGCTAGGAGGTTTCTTCCCTCAGTCCTCAAAACTGCAAAAAATAATGATTGGGAAATGGTTGAAATTCTATGAGCAAATTTTCAAGTAGGAACAGGCTTTTTTTTTTTTTTTTTCTGCCAAGATGCATAATAGGTGTTTTCAAGAGGTCGTTAACTTCAACAGCATAGTCAAAAACAGTGTTACACCCCACATTGCATCATTCGTTAAGCAATTAAGTTACTGATAGGCTTTTACATTTATTTACCTTGATGGAAAGATATGTTTACTCAACCTGAGTACAAATCAACATGAGGAGGCGGAAGTTCAGAGTAAATTTGACTAATGATGTTGTGTTTTCATCTTTAAAAGAAAGGGAAAAAAAAAGCCTCCTTGCTTTTGATGTTATTTTATCTTCATTGGAAGGGATCCGAAATGATCCCAACTGTCATGTGAGCACTCAGTTAGGCTCAGATCCTCTTTGATTGTATCTGAACATCTCTCTCAGCTGGCTCATACCTCCCTTATATGAATACAGCATACAGCACTCCGGGTTGTTTATTAAACAGGGCTTTGACTCTTCCTCTGTGAATGTTTTCACGACTGCATCTTTTAGCAAAATGTGGCATGCGGCCACCTTTGCCCAGGGAGACGTTAATGCAGCCTCCTTGCTGATGTGTGGCAAGAATTTCCTCTGAGGAGAACTCAGTTATCTTAAGATGACTTCTAAAATACAAAACTGCCTGGTGGAAGTTATATTTCTCAGTGAACCCTAATTATCTCTCATTTTCTTCCAGGTCTACTCTGTTTTCCAGTCTTGTTATATGGATTTTTCTCTCTCCCCAAGTAATTCCTCAGCATCCCCTTGGATGGCATCTACGGCACGTGAGCATTCTCCACAGTCTCTAAGATACTTTTGTTGTTTTCCTTTTTTGAACATTTACTTTTTTGAGATGACATTGACAGACATGTGGCCTAAGTCTCTGTGGGTAGAGCTCACATTTATTTCAGTATGTAGAGCAGCTTTAGGATCTGATCCATATTGAAGACTAGCAATGTGTAATGAGGCCTGGGCATATAAAACAATATGTATTATAACATTTCTCACTCAAAACAAATATGTTCCCTTCTTTTCAGCTGGTATAAACAAACAATCTCTATTGTGTTCAGTATGGCTAAGCTGTGTTGGATTATATAAGATGAACTTGGCTTCTCAGTTTTTCCAAATTTACTTTGTGAAAAAGCATCACTGTCCTGCAACACATATATTCTCACTCTGTGTCCATGCAATCCTGTGAATTAAGATATGAATCCCAAAGGCTGAAATTACATTTGAAATTAAGTCACACTGTCTTACAGGTAGAACTTTTCATGCCACAGATATAATTAAATTATGTCTCATTTTTTCAAGACTGAATCCTGTGTTCCTTAATCAAACAAAACTGATATTGAATCCTGTGACAGTTTTACATAATGAGAAAACAGAGAACTAGTTTAATAGTTGTTGCAACATACTCTCGTGCTGACCTGCAAAACCTTTTGCCCTGATATCTAAATTATCTTTTGATAAAAATTGGCAGCAGAATGAAATATTTGTGATGACTCGAGGTGGAAAAATTAACAGGGACCAGTTCAAAACTCACGTGTAATATTCACTGCCTTTGCGAACTGAACCAAATTTGAACCCAGGTGTTCACTCTCCAATTGAAGTCAGATTTTATGTCATTCTACAAAACTGTTATACTGTTCTGTAACTTATGCTGGAAGCAGAGTGAGCTGTTTTGGAGCTGAAATGATTTCATTGTTAGACTAAGTGTTACACAGATGGCATTCTTAAATGTAAAATTCTTTATATGATCCTTTCAATTTCGTATTTATTTCATTAGATCATTATTTATGTTAAAGAGACACTATTAATATGAAATGTGCTCAGCTTAAAAGAAAATGTTGAGAAGAATTTCAGGTATCTGATCCTCAATCCTTTAATTTTTGTTTTTCATATTTTTCTGTTTAAATCTTTTTTGTGTCTCTAGGTGTTATGTGACAGATACACAAACAACAGAGGGGAAAGAGCCTCACTTAACTGATTAGAGAAGTAGTGAAAGGGAATATGCACAAAGCGCTGCCAAGTTCACAGAGCAGACGAAAAGATAAAAAATAGAACCAATTCACCATTTTTTTAATGTAGGGTATTTGTTATATTAGTGGCAGGAAAATAATTTTCAGACAAAAATGTGATTTCTTAATCAAGGGTCTCTAATTCAAAATACATTTATTTAATAAACAGTAATTATGATAGCTGCAACTACTCATATCAATAATTCATTCAGAAGTAAACCATATCAACATATTAGCATTTATTTTTCCATTTAATAGGCTGTGATTTAAAATAAATGTAAATTGTCATAATCATTCAACTCCATATGCTGGGAAAGAAAAGTCACCTTAAACCAGATGCATATTGTGGAAAAAAAAAGGGAAGACAAGTTGTTCTAAAGAAACAGCATATGGGGGCAGATCTTAAGCTGGTGTAAAGATGCTCTGCTTTCTAGAAGTTAACATAACTATGCTGTTTCACACCAGCTGAGATCTTGGTCTATAATTTTTAAGAACCGGGTGTTTTGGAGGGCTTTCCATGGAGTCACATATTAATTTCCTTTTCTAAAGAGAAGCGAGAAGTATGATTTCTTCCAATTTTAATCAGGAGAAGGCAGTAAATGCCATCAAGAAAAATCCAGTTTGAGTATTTTTATGGGCGGAAACAGTAGGCTGTTTGCCTGAGTCGTATGTTGGCTCTGCATTAGCGTGTGTGTGTGCATGTGTGAGGAATACTTTTTTTCCTGTCTGCTGAGTTAGCCAAAGCCTCTCCTAACTACATAAAATCCTTAACTACTACTTATTTTATTGGCATACTACTCTTTCTAGTTCCCCCGTGATTCCTTTTGCTTTCAACAGGTGAGGTCAGAGATTGCAATCATGTGCAACCCTGTTGCGGGAGATGGGGATGAGCCTGAAAAACCGTCAGTGTTCCCCGTGCAGAGTCGGTGGCACCTTATCAGGAGGCCTGGGAGGAGACCAGTGGACAGGAATGGGTTGTCCATTTGCTGTCTGCTCTGTGCGCTGGAAAAGGCCCTCTTGTATGAGTTAAGAAATTCTCTTCCTCCCTCAAACAGTGTCCTGTGTTCTGCCTGGGGGGATAAGGCCACACAGCCCTTGCTCTGGCCTCCCAGCAATGCTCTCGGGGACCACGTCTGCAAGGCAAAGACCTTCCAGCATGCACCGTGTGGGCGAAGAGCAGCCGTCGGGCAGCACTGGTAGTCCCCTAGCCACTGGGTGGTGGGCATGGCATGACTTGCCCATCCAACCCATCTCAGGTGGGTTTTGTAGCCCCTGTCACAGCAATTAGGCGGCTACCATTTGCCACATCACTCTTTCAAGGCTCTCTATGCTGTGCTGCTGTGACAACAATGACTGTCCTGTACCTTTGGCTCCTACTGCCACAGGGCAGCCAAATTTAGCTGGTACCTGACTTTTGGCATTTCCAGCCTCTGAAATGCTTCGTTTTGTTATATTCCTTCAGGATTATTTTTAGGAGGAAGGCGATTTATGTTGTTCAATTTTCCCCACGTTAACACAGAGAAGCAATGGGTTTTCCACAAGTCCTTTGCATGATTCCTCTTTACCGTGTGGCTGTGATTTAGTGCTGGATGAAGCTCAAAGGGAGGATTAGTCTAGATATACTCCCATATGCTTGGATGCATATCTGAACCTTGTCCATACCATCCTTGCTGCTTTTGTTGGAAAAAGCTGGGCTATAAATATGATGAATACAGGCTTCCATGCAAGATGTTTAGTATTTCCTGCTTCCATTTGGGCCAGTGATACTGCCAATCCAGCCCTTTTTGGCCCTGTAGCTCTCGGTCCTAGGCTTGATGGAAATTCAGAAAATCACAGTGACAGAAAATGAATAGAGGAATAAAAGGAGGTTGATTTTTCTCAACTTTAATGAAGGTTAGATTAGGGTTGAGCTTTAGCTGTAGCTGAAACTTTGCTTGAGGATGGGCAAAGATAGAATGTTTTTATTTTAATGGAATTGGTTCATCCATCTTTCAGGTGATTACATTTAAGCATGAACCCATTTTTATGGTGCAGAGTAAAAGAATCTGTGCTTCTTTTTAAGAGCTTTGCCTTCTGGGAAAATTAGGACTGACTATAAAACTCTCACTATATTGTATTCAAGCAAATCTGGAGCACGAGAGAGAGAGAAAGAAGGGATGAATGGAAAGAGGGAAGCTTTTCCAAAAGTACTCTGCTCTGTCGTGTCCTGCTATTCCTTGGTATCATGGATGGGATCGTCATTACACATATTACCTGGGTATATTTCTGATTCCCTGTTAAGTTATACTTTCAAATTATAAAACATCAAATCACTTTGAAATTGATCCAAAAATTGCTCTTCTATTTCCATTTGTGGCCTTTCCACTTGGGTCATTTGTTAAAAAGATTTTCTCAGTCTCACTATAGTCAGTGGATCATTGTGTGGATTCTCCTCTCTCCATTTCAAGAGCTTCCCTGTCTCTGAAAGAAAGGCTGTGTTTTCTGAACTAAATTTGCTGCCTGTTGTTTCGTTAATAAATTAGAGATTTAGATTTGAGTCAGAGTTTGTGAGGAGCCGGGGAGGCTTTCTAAGCCCAACTTGGCTAGGTAGAGAAACACCTTCTTTGCATGCCTGAGTGTGGCTCCTGTGCTGCCCCATGGATTTCTGCCCATGCAGTGGCTGGCATGGTCTGCAAGGTGCAACTTGAATTGCAGCGACCTCCCTCCTGTGCTTGGTCCTGCCCCTGGCAGCCCACACTCATCCCTCTGTCTACAAGGGCTCGTGCTGCTCTTCAGGGTGGCCTTGGAGGCAGTCTAAACCTAAACTCAGACTCACCGCTCGGATGACTTGGAATGACTATGTTAGGCCAGAATTTCCCCTAAAATGTACTTCCACAAGCATACAGTTTGATCTTTGCACAAAGGATTTATATAAGAGCTCACTTCCCTCCATTGGCTCTGAGGAAAGCGTGCTGGGGGAATTTAGGGGAGCATGCAAACTGGAGGAGACCTGCACACAAAAGAGATTTTTCTTCTAAGAACATCTGCACAGCTGGAGCTCCTTCAGCGCCGCAGTTAAAAAGCTTGGGTGATACCTGGCCAGAGTCAGGACAGGGTCTCTCCAACACTCTCCCAACATGCTGAGTACAGCTGGCAGCTCTCAGGACAATCCCCTGCCAGGTACACACAGCTGCATGCACACAATTTTGCTGTCAGATGCTGCTGTTTGAGGATCTTCCACTCTGCAGGTAGACTGTAAGCAAATGACCTCAGGAGAGTAAAGGTGAAGAAACTCTTTTTCAACTCCTTTATATGCTAAAGTCAATGGGAAACAGCCACAAAGTTTACCTATACTCTTGGGAACATCATTGTTGCTAAGTATCTCTAGACCAGCACAAAACCAAAGTCCCAACCCTTAGGTGCCCTATAAAAATAAGCTTTCAGCACAGAGTGGAGAGACCTTAGCAACTGCTCTACTATAGAGGAGAGACCTGGCAGCCTCGGAGGAAGCTCACAGTGATGGGAAAGACTCTGACTTTTGACCTTGCACCTGCAAAGGTCTTTCTAAGGTCGGGTCACCACCCATGAGTGTAACCCTGGCTAATGCTGTCTGATCTGCTTTCTGGTGTGAATGAAATGTGTGGCTGAAGTCTTTCTTTCCTTTCTTTCCTTCTTTCCTTCTTTCTTTCCTTCTTGACCTTTGGGCAGGCTCTGTTTAGCCATCTCTACCCTCCAAAGGCGATGAATCCCGAATTTAAAGGCTGATCCTAACAATATAACCTGCGTGCTTGCCTTTACAACAGTGTGATGCTTAAAACTGAATATAAGCAAGAATTGGGCTTTAGATCTTACTCAAATCTCAGTGGAACTTTGAGGTTGTCAGACAGCACTGAAGTGAGAGATCTAGAATAGGAAAATTAGTGAACACAAAAGTCATGATATTTACTCAGTTTATTCATTTTTTCTCTTTTTTTTTCATAAAACCTGCATAACTGGCGTGTAATTGTTTTGCTAAGCGAGTCTTGAAAGTAAGAGTCTTGATAGCTGTCAAATATCTCCTTTGTAGTACAGTGTGTTGTCCTTAGAAGCTAATGAGTAGAGCTTGCTCAGAAAAACTTAATCAGCAGAACAGAGCACATTGTCAGTGCTTAGCAACTAATAAATTATAATAATATCAGCAGTTCCTTTTGACACAACCTTTCAAACTTTTGCTTTGTTTCTGTCTTCTTGCCACCAGTTAAGTTTTAATATCTACTACTACCTGTCTAGCTCTACTTGCTATGGTTGAGAGGACCTGTGAGATGACCTAACAGGGTGGAAGTGTTGTCCAAAATGAAATTTTGACAAATATCACAAAAAGAATTCTGAGAAAGTTCTTTGGTTATTACTTTTCACTTACTGGTGTTGCTTATTAGACTCAAAATAAAAGAAAAACAAATCCATGTATAATTTTGATCAGTTCAGTTGTTAAAATGTAAAACATATGCTTATCAGCTAATAGAATCACATTTGAGTTTCCCAATAGTCTCTATTTTTAAAAGACATGCTTATTAGGTTTGCCTTACAAAAAGGTGAATGTATCTAGAATCATCTCTATTATTAGTAATTATTATTGCTATAAGGAGGATCGGGTAGCTCAGAGGGTTGTTAACAGATCTGAGGCTCTCGCTTCTTTTTCACCATTGTAATTTGGCCCGGACTGGGAGTTACTGACAATCATTTCATTTTCTAATTGTTTGGTAGTTTATAGCAATTAGGTGGTGGGTTTTATTCACTTTCAACAAGCTGTATCTCCACATTATAAAGAAAACCACCAGGTCAGCTCTAAGTTGCCACTAATTGTCACAGGCTTAAATGGAGCTGTGTCAGTTTATCCCAGCTGAGGATCTGACCAGTGATCACAACTGGCATTCATTAGCAGATGTGTTATCAGACTCCGTGGAGATGCTCTGGGTTGCGTGACAATGGAGACTCAGCTGGTGCAGTTGGTGGATTCGTGCCAGTTTGTCGGCTCTGCTAGCAGGTGGAAATTCCAGGTCAACCTTGAGGTACGGCTTCTGCCACCCGGCCTGTGCTTCATGGCCCGGCATAGAAGGACAAGTTGAGGTTCAGGGCTGCCAGTTTTATTAAGGCATGAGCAATGTAATGCATATATTTAAAACAGGAAGCAAAGAAAAAGGGGGAGGAAGCCTTAGTGCTAAACTGACTCCTCCTTGGAGCCTGGCGTGTACGAGGGACTGGCTGCTGGTGCTAGGCGAAAGCACCCAGCTAATGTGGTAGGGCTCTGTTTTTTTCCTACTATTGTGTGTGCACGGCCTGAGCTAACACTGTAACATGAGTTGCATGCATATGACAGAAAAGTGGGGGGAGATGCCTCTCAAAAGAAGTAATCCTCAAATACAACAGTTTTTTCTCAGTGGCAGTTACCCACAGATACAGTGCTGTTATAGATGTAAACCAGTAATTGGGACTGTGGCTGGAGGAGCGTTTTGAATTTGTAGGTGAATGAAGAATAGGATGGAGACAAATCTGAGAGGCTGCATTTTTGGCAGAAAAATGGGAACAGTCTACCATCCTCCCTTGCATTTATTTGGGTGCACTACATGTCAAAACCAAGCAAATGACACATGCAGATATTCCTTGCTTGGTGTTTGGTGGCTGGAGCAGCCACTCTGTCCCCTTTCTCTTTCTCACTTGCCACTGCAGGATGGTGGTGAGGAACAAACTGCCAACCTGACTGTGTGGCACCTTGGGCAATAAAGATTTCTGGTTTCCCCATTAATATGGATACCTAAAGCCCCCAGCACAAACCTGGGTATTGGTGAGCAATCCTTTCAGCCTGTACAAACTTCTGACACTTTCTCAAAATTGGCACAATTTAGCAGAATTTATGCTTGTTGGGACACTAGGAAAAAAAAATCTTTTCGCTGTGAAACCTGTTACAGCCAAGGAAAGGAAAATAGCAGGAGGGTGAGGCTTAAATAGTGAGGGTAACACAGGAGTCACCGGCCTGGTGCCAGGCCTGTGATCCAGCCAACGGAAAGGTGCATATCTGAGAAAAGCACAGCAGTAGTGAATACAAACAAACTTGCACCATCTCCGCACACATTTTCCACCATCTTAAGCCAGATATGAAAAGATGTTTAGGCACCTAGTTGCTATGACAAATCTGTTTCTTTCTCTGAATAGTCATCTTTCGGCTCAGATCCACAAAAGCAGTTGACTGAGACCTTGGGTGGGATGCTGACATTTAAGCTCAGGGTCTCAACATATCCAACAATTTAATCACCCCAATTCTTGCTAATAGAGATCTCAAGACATCTACAATTTTCCTTTTGCTTATCTACAAAGAGAGCAGGAACCCTAGCCAGGGAGCTACAAGCTAAATATTCATAAAGGAAAATATTTTCCGTACTTCCTGTAGAAGTGGTGCCGATGCGCAGAGGCTTCACTGGGAGGAGTTTAAGACATTAAGGTGGAGAATAAGATATCTTCTCTTGCCTTCCTCTGCAGAATTATATTTCTCCCCGCTTAGCTATTTTGGATTGGCAAAAGCTGGAGGATTTTGTTCAGCATACTCACTGCTGTGTAAGGTTTTTCTAAAATATTGGTTTCACAGCCTAGTGAAATGGCACCGATTTTTCAGGAAAATCGGTAAAACATATCCTCAAAGGATGTACGGAGGTGATGATTATTGGAGTTTTAATTAAAATATCAGGTAAAATAACTATTACAGTGTGTTATTATTTCCAAGATAACAACAGAATAAGGATGCCCATTTCTTTCGTGAGTGCAATTTTCTAAATGAAAACGTGAACATTAATATCTTCAGAGATCTTACTGATCTTGTATGATAATTTAGAAAAATATCTCTATTAGGGATAGTTCTATATGCTTTTTTGTTGGAAATGCAATCACAGAATATGCACATAGCTGCAATCTGTAGACAGATTAAGTAAATTAAATCACTCAATGTCTTTTTTCAATAGCTCTAAAGTTAAAAGTAATTTGCAAAGAAAATACTCAGTTTCAATAGGTTTGTAATATCTGTTAATGATCTTTGGAAAAATTTCTGATAACACACGGGAATTCCCTCAGGGACAGGGTTGTGAATAAGTGTTTTTTTTAAGTTTGAGATGTCATTAGCTAGTGATTTCTTCAATGTAAAAAGCTGTTATGAAATAAATTGCAGAGGTATGCAAGTGAACAGGACAATCATTTTTATGAATAATATATATTTGTTCCACTGTGCTATCTGCCCAAATAAGAAATAATTTAAAATCTAAGTTGCCATTATAAACATAAAAAAATTCATGAATGCCTATGCATTTTGTGCTTACTTTATGTATATCCTTAGGAATGTGTGGACTGTTGGTATAAAAACACTAGTGTAAGGATCTGTTTTGCTTCTTTAACTATTTTTTTTACTAGGTAATTTTTTCAAACTACAACGCTGAATCCTTTCCCCTAATCAAAATGGCTCCAGCACAGCTGTTCTCTAGAAGACATCCTCCCTGATTTCTTACAGGGCCTGTAAGATAATTGAAGTTGCAGGTAAGTGCAATCATGGGGGGAAAAAATGTCCTTGTTCTGAGAATACTTTGTTAGCATGAAGTATCCCAATCTCTTTGACTATTCGGAGATGATCCAGATATCCATCAGATATCCATACTACTAGAATAAGCTGGCATTTTTTACAGCTATGAACGGCAGGTTTCCAGGCCACTTCCCCCGTCTGAGAAATCTGGAGTAGAAAAGATCAATAGAGGCTTCGTAGGTTACACATCTCCCTAGGAGCCCTGAGGAACATTGCTCTGTTCTGGGGTTCAGCTGTGCAATTCAGCCATGTGCAGTTGAGGATGAGGGATATATCTTTATAGGTTCCACAGGAACTCTGAAGGGATGCTGGTCTGGGTGATGGGGGACTTGGGCTCAAGGGTGTTCTTTATATTAATTAAAAGGTAAGCCTAATTGCCATAGAGAAACTATATGAAACTATAAAGACCTTGGTTTCATTACCATCCTTCAAACTTGTTTTACCAAGACCCTATTAATCTTGCCCCCTTTTCCCTTTTTCCTGATCTCTACTCTGAGGCAAACCAGACTACAGTAAACATGACTGCTGCCTCCGTGGTTCCTATGAAGGGATAAAGAAACGAGGATTTGCCCAGATCTAGGAAGAGAGGTGAGAGCTACACGTTTGAAAAGCCTTCTGCTCTGTTCTGGGCCTCTGAAGGCATATTGTAGTGGTCAATATCTGTCCTCAACTGATTATCCCTCAGAAAGTCTGACAGCCCTTCACCTTGTGTATGCAATGTTCAGTAATGCTCTGCATTTGCTCCAACAATAAAGGGGCACCATCCTGAATATGTCTTAATCATCACTAGTGTTGGTCACCTCAGTAAGTTGTCTTGTCTTTGGCAGAGGCCAGTACCAGATGATGTCAAGGAAGACTATCCCTCCTTTTGCATAACAGTGCAGCATGGAAAATGATGCCACTCTGTCTCTATTTGTTGACTAGCGTATGCCAAAAACTATTGGGATGACTAGACACTATTATCTACTTCCAGCTAGTAAAACTCTCATGGAATTTTTTCTAAGGCTATGAGCAACCATTATTATCATCAAAATCTGATCTGCTGCATAATGTATGCCACTGAACTTCACCCAATCTGATCTTTGCATAAAAATTTACTTTAACACCTGAAAATGCCTCATCATGTACAAATATTATGCTGTTTCTCTCAGTATTTTCACAACAGCAAGTCTCATTAATTAACTATATGTTGCATAGAAAAGAAATACCTCTTATCCATCTGAAACTTGATACCTCTTAGTTTCACCTTCCAAGATAGGAAAGAGTTTTTTTTGTTTGTTCGTTTTTTTTCTTTGCTGCTAATTAGGTTGAAAGATCACGAGGACGAAATGTTATTTATATTACGGTCATGCTTAAGTAGAGCTCTGGAAAAGCCTGGGGACTCCGTTGCATGACCTGAGGGAACAATGCAAGTCCTTCGGGGCTGAGACTGCTTGAATAGACACATTTTCAAAAGAGCTGAATGATCTAAATAGAAGGAATGTCAGGAAAGTCAGTGGATTCATATTTTTGAATCACCTGTACATTTCTGAAATATTAATCTGAAGACTAAGAGAAGGAAAGGCATAGAAAAATGGAGTTACTAGGACTAGGATGGAAAAATGTGTTTGGGAGGTAGTTCGTTAAAGAAAACAGATATGTTCAGTGGACAGCTCTGGGCCCTCTTCACAGTCTATAGGTCATTTTGCCTTCCATTGTCTGAGCTGGTTAAAAACTGACTTGAAAGTTCTCTAAGGTATGATATACTGAGGAAAGTGTCTGCAGCATCTGTTTCATGCAAGGGCCCAAAGCCCTCCAGCAAAATCGTAAGGACTGCCAGGGATCAAGCCAATCTTCTACCTTATCTCAAGCTAAAGAATTTGTTCCAAGATTATGGAAAGGATTCAGGTGTGATTTGCAGTCCTATGAGGGTGAGTCTCGCCTCAGAAACAGGCTGGTGCTTGTGTTTTTTAATCTTTTCTCAAGAAATTCCCCATCCTTTTGACTTTTATCATTTTTATTGCCCTTCTCTGGACCTCTTCTATTTCTACGTTCTTTCTTTCAGGGATGAGGTGACCAAATTTGAAGACAGTATTCAAAGTGAGGATGTGCCACTGATTTATATAATGGCATTATAATATTTTCCATATTATTCTCTAAAACTCTTTTCTTCATACAAACCCCATAAGATTCTTTTTAATTCTTTGAACTACAGTGCCTTTTAACATCTGTAGTTTACTCTGATCAGATTTTGACAAAGGAATAAAAGACTCCATTTTTCACATAGAATTTTATTTATTGTCTGAACTTTAGAGGAGAAATTGGTTAACTTACAATTTAAAATTCTTGGCAATGTAGACCATTGGGCAAGGATTTTGTTAGCAACCCTTCTTTAATTTCTTTAAAAAAGTCTGAAGCTGAAAGTTGGTGTGCAAGATCTTGCCTCAGAAGTTTGACTTGCATACCTTTTCAAACAATAAATGCAGTCAAATACTCATTTTTGGGGAACTTCCAGCATCCCCAAATATTTCAAAAATGTTGTTCTTCTGTATCCCCTCCCTGATGAAGTGTGCCAGAGTGACACATTTTCAGGATGTTTTCCCAGGGTCATGCATGTGTGTAAGTGGCACATGAGTTCTGTGCTCTGCGGTCTTCTGTTCACTGTACCACGTACTCCTAAACTAGGTCAGGGAAAGATCTTTTCAAAAAGGTGGTGCTTGATGACTGCAGAGGATGGGGATCTTGCTCTCATGTCACAGCTGGGCATTATGTCTTCATCAGGGTATTAGAAAAAGCTCAAGGAAAAAAAAGTTACATCTATTCTATTGCCAAAGATGCTTCCGGCAGCTACTGACTTTCCTTAGAGTTACCAATCCAAGTGCTGACCTTGACTGATCCTACTTATCTCGTGAAAGCAAACAAGATCACAGCCTGAAGCAGTATAGCTACAGGCTCAGTGATGACTACCAAAATGTCTATTTAGTATTTTCAGAAACACTGCTGTAAAGGTTTACAGTACCAGCTTCTAGATTTGTGGATAAGACCAAAACACAACCCTGGCCCCTGAGCATTTAGCCTCACTTATGCAGAAATTCATGCCTCTCGGGAGGCCAACACTGAGTTGCCACAAAACAGTTATTTTCTCCCTGTAACTCTACCTGAATTTAAGCATCGTATGATTATACACAGTCAAGTACTGGATAAAAAATAACATTTGAAAACTACAGACTTGAGTTCAGAGTTCCTTGTTAGCTCTTTTTATCAGTTGCATTACTCTTTTAGCAGTAAAAATGATTTTACTATTCCTATGAGAGATCTTTTATCTTTTTTTTTTTTTGGTTTAATGCAGGAAATTATCTTAATTCTTGCATGACCAGGACAGTTTTTCATAAGAAGCTATTTTTAGATGAGCTGCAAATTTGTTCCCTAGAAAACATTTCAGCTCAACTATATGAAAGCAAATGCATGTTTTTCCGAATATCTCTAAGGATAAACGCAGGTTCAAACACTCAGCGAACACTAAGAGGATCATCTGATTTGATTGTTGTGTATATTCATAGTTCTTGCTGTTTTATCTATTTATTTTTCTTTCTAGAACAGCAAAGACATGGACAAAAACAATGAGGTCTTATTGCTTCTGTCGGAAACTTCTGCTGACTACATCATGAGTTGGATTGGGCCCAGAGAAACCAAATACACACAAATAACAATGAGCTGGCCATACAAGGAAGGAAAATTACAGATAACAGATGCACGCAAATTAGCAATGCACCTTTTAGGTCATTTAATATAGCTCCCTGACACTGTGAGATTGTTTGCTATGGCATATTTTTGGCTGTTTTGTATATCTAAATTAAATGTCCCAAGTGATGCTGTGTTGCTAAGGAGGGATTTTGCGGCCTAATAGGTCTCATTGTCATAAGTTTTCTTCTTTTCTTAACATCACCACACTCCACCTATGCTCCTTTGTAAACCTCCTTCACAGATCTCCTCCCTTGGTGTATTTTCTCTCCAGTATCTTTAATCTACTGTTAGATATTATTAATCCAATCTATACATGTTTAACTCATCTGATCTTCCCTGACAAACCAGTCCTTTTGGTCTCCTGGTTATTCTTCCTACCCTGTTGTCACATCCTGCCTGTCAGCATCTTTTTTTTTTGTTATGAGATTTCAAAGACACAACACATACCTCTGAACTAATGACAGATTGTGGCATAGATATGAGCACCCTCAATGTCTTCTTACTAATAAACACTCCTGAGGCACCCTTGGGAAAACTATCAGCTTTCTGGACAGATGCACAAGCAGAGTTCAAACCACTTTCTTGGTGTCACTTGTCCTTGTTTTGTTGGTCAACAGCAACCTTTTGACACAGTAAAGCAATTTTTTTTTTAAATATGTCATTATGAATTTCTTTTCATGCTATAGGAGATAGAACAGCACAGATTAAAAATATTTTATTGGTGTTGTTTGAATTTTCCAACTCTTAGTCATGGGTGTCGCTATCTAATGTTATTAAACACATTGACTAGCGGTCTAGCAATATGTAAATGCTAGTAGAGCACATTGTAGAAAATAATTATGTACATAGTCACAAGCCTAGCTGTTCACTTCAGGCTATAAATTCTGATCAACAAACAACACTTCTTTAGTGCTAAATGAGATCTTGGCTGTAATTGAATGTCTTTACCTTTGTGTTCTGTTGGATTGGAGGAATATCATTTTAATCTGCTCTCTTTAAATTTTCATTAAGGAACGTTTCAGCTACCTGCAGCCTCATCTGGTGATGTTTAATGATATCAGCTAGCTCGTTCTTCTGTGCACCAGCAGGGGCTTCTTTAAATTGGTCAACTGCACAGAATGTTGTTTTTGAGTTTAATGTACTCAGAATCAACTCCTTAAAACAATGATATCTCTTAAGACAGTTTATATAATAATACACACATATGAGCACAGTTATATGAGTATATATATAT